TTGCTGAATCCTGTTAGTGTATGTACTGAATTACATGATGGTATAGCAAAAACATTACTTGACCCTCCTTTGATCACTGGCCTTCAACAACAGATACACAGTAGGCAGGGATGGAGTTGATAAAATTGCTGCCCCAAGAGAAGAACAGTGTACAGAAGTCTAAAAAGAGACTGCAGATGACAGCTATTCCTGGATTTAGTGTGTGTGCTCCTTAGTTCCCACTGAGCCAAATACAACATGCACTTTATAATAGCCATCTATGTGTCTTAATGTTTGGTTCAACTCCCAGCTTCTATCTTTGCTAATATAATTATGTTTGCTTATGTGTCAAACTTTGGACAATTACCAAGCTCTTAGCTGTGCCAAGAACTTGGCTCTTGGTAAGTATTTTCTAACATGAGAAATTGTATATGTCAGGCAATAGGGGTTGTACTTCAACAGTGATGTCAAAATGTTAGAATTCATTCTTACACACTAGGTACTTAAATTATTTCAATAATGATGAGACTAGATTTTTGTCTTTGGATTAACACTGTGTGCTTAAAAATGATACATTTCCTAGAGGCAATGATTAAAGTTCATTCACTTATTTGACAAATATTTATGAAATACATACTATATCTGAGCTACTACAGAACAAAAATAATAAAAGGTACCTCCACACACTCAAGGAACTTAAAATCCCATATAAGAATATATAGACACACAATTATAGTATCAGGTACGTATATGTAACTAAAGAATGGTACAAATAACTTGATCTAGGTTCTCAAAGATGGGTAGAATTTCAAAAGGCAGAAATGAGGGAATGAATAACATTCCCTGGATAACAGCATTAAGAAAACCATAGAGAAGGCAGAACATTAAGTGAGCATGTGAGTAGTCATGTTTGGCTGAAAAAATAGATAGCTGATTAGATTTATCAAGAGAAGAGTACAGAGACAAACCAGAAAAGAACCGTGTTAAGGCCTTATGTGTCAAGAAAGCTAGACCTCACTGAGTGGCCAAGCCAACTAATGAGCACAGAAGTGAAAAAATTAAAGAAGTTATATAGGAAGATTATTTTAGTGGCTCTTGCCCTAAAACTACAGCACCTTGGACTTCCCTGGTGGTCCAGTGGTTAACAATGTGCTTCCAATGCAAGGGGTGTAGGTTTAATCCCTGGTTGGAGAACTAAGATTCCACATGTTGTGTGGCATGGCAAAGTAAATTTTAAAAAAGGTATAGAATCTCAACTTGGATGATCATTTGATTGATTTACTAGTATTTATTGAGCCCTTAATACATCACAGGCACTGTACTCAGCACTGAGGAAATAAAGATGAATGAGAATTCTGTATGATCTAGTCTTATGACCTCTCTGACCTCACTGTTTACTATTATTCTGCCTTAAGGACTCAGTCCAGCCACAACAGCCGCCTTGTTGTTCCCAAGCATGCTCTCATCTTAGGCCTTTTGCACCAGCTGTTTCTGTTTCCAGAATCCTCTTTCCCTGAATAAATGCTTGGGCTAACTCCCAACTGTCCTTCAAGACTTGGTTCAAAGGCACCTTTCCAATGATGCCTAGTCTGACTACCCTATCTTAAAATGTAACTAGCTCTGTTTTCCTTCTTTTCCTCCCATTTTACACACCACCTAATACATTATATAATTTATCCATTTATTTTGATTACTGTTTCCTTTTCCCCACAAGAATGTAAACTACGGAAGTACAGAGGTCCTTGCCTCTTTTCATTCAAGCAGTGACAGAGTCCCTAACATATAAGAGCACTTAACACATATCTGTTGACCACTGTTAAACACAGGAACTGTATGAATTCATAATCTTCTCTTCTCAGGAAGGGGAATTTATTAACTAAACAATGTGAAAAATTTGTTCAAAGAGGGATATACATAATGTGCTATGAGAACCCAAACGGAAAGGCACCTGAAAAGGTTCAAGGAAAGTTAATTCTACAATTGAGAAGAGCAGAAATTTGCCATAAAAATGAAAGGTACTGTTAGCTGAGAGAAGAGCAGAATACCTACAACTGCCTTTGAATAATCTCTCTTAATCATCTTTATGTCACTAGCACCCAATACAGAGCTTGGCACATGATGCCATTCAACATGTTTGTTAAACTGAGCTATGCTAGAGAGAAAAAACTAGGTGATCCTCTTTATGGAGATGCAGAAAGGTCTGAGAAGGAGCAACCAGAGAAGTAGGAAGAATCAGGATAGCATTACTTCAAGAAAATCTGGGGTAATCTGGGATAAATCACATGACTGTTGTTTAGTCGCTAATTAGTATACGATTCTTTGTGACCCTATGGACTGTAGCCTACCAGGCTCCTCTGTCCATGGGATTTCCCAGGCAAGAATACTCGAGTGGGTTGCCATTTCCTTCTCCAGGGGATTTTCCTGACCCGGGATCAAACCCAAGGCTCTTGCACTGGCAGGCGTACTCTTTTACCACTGAGCCACTAGGGAAGGGTCAAATGTTTAGAGGTCAAAGAGGACTGTCGCTGTTCAGTCGCTCAGTCGTGTTGGACTCTTTGTGAATCCATGGACTGCAGCACACCAGGCCTCCCTGTCCTTCACCACCTCCTAGAGCTTGCTTAAATTCATGTTCATTGAGTTAGTGATGCCATCCCATCATCTTGTCCTCTGTCATCCCCTTCTCCTGCCTTCAATCTTTCTCAGCATCAGGATCTTTTCTAATGAGTCAGTTCTTCACGTCAGGTGGCCAAGTACTGGAGCTTCAGCTTCAGCATCAGTCCTTCCAATGAATAGCCAGGACTGATCTCCTTTAGGATAGACTGCTTGGATCTCCTTTTAGTCCAAGGGACTCTCAAGAGTCTTCTCCAACACCACAGTTCAAAAGCACCAATTCTTTGGTGCTCAGTCTTCTTTATGGTCCAACTCTCACATCTATACATGACTATGTTTCTAACAAATGTTTAGAAGTCAAAGAGGATTATGCTGAAAATAGGGCTTTGGTTTGGTGTATACCAGAGAGTAGATTTAGTAGGGTAAAAAAGGCAGGCAGGTTAAGGAGTCAGTGTGCTAAACAAAAACAGAAATAATGAGCAAACTATTCTTCTGGAAAGTTTACAAAGTACTTTCAAATATGAAAGAAAGTGAAAGTATTAGTCACTCAGTTGTGCCTGACTCTGTGAACACATGGACTGTAGACTGCCAGGTTCCTCTGTCCATGGGATTTTCCAGGCAAGAATACTGGAGTGAGCTACCATTTCTTTCTCCACTTTCGACTATGTTATCTCATATATGTTATCATCTTATCTTACAGTGAGGACACTGAGGCTCAAGGAAGTTGATTTGTCCAAGGCCATGCAGCCAGCAAGGGTTTTAAACATGATACGGATCCAGCTTTCTGACTCTAATTCTCATACTATTTACATTCTCCCCAGCATCATGGTCCCCCTCTGCTGTCATTCATATAGTGGGGTAGGCTTCAGATAGTGGCAAGTGAATCTACCACAATAGCCCACCAGTATTTTGGCATAATCAGGGAGGATATAAGAGAGGCTCTGAAGAAAATTCCAAGTATAGGGGCTTCGCTGGTGGCTCAGTGGTTAAGAATCTCTTATTATATTAAGATATATGATATATAAGATATATATATGATATATCTTATATATCTTACATATCTTATATATATATATCTTATATATATCTTATAATATGATATAACATATTATACCTTAATATTATATATTTAATATAATCAAATTATATAATTATATCAAATATATATATTTGTATATATATTTGTATTTGTACATATGTATATATGTATATATATACACACATATATATTTGTATGTGTATTTGTATGTGTATATATATACATATATATATTTGTATTTGTACATATGTATATACACACATATAATCAAATTATATACATTACATATCTTTATTATATACATTACATTATAATATATATCTTATAACATATTATATTTTAATATCAAAATTTAATATAATCAAATATACATTAATTATAATAAATATAAATTTAATATATGTTGTTATATTAAGACTCTGCCTTATTATAATGCAGGGAACATGGGTTCAAGCCCTGGTCTGGGAAGATCCCACATGCTGCAGGACAACACATGCAGCCTGTGTGCTGCAATTACTGAAGCCTGTGTCCCTGGAGCCCAGGAGTGGCAACAGGAGAAGCCACTGCAAGGAGAAGCCTGCACACAGCAACGAACAGCAGCCTCCACTCACAGCAACTAGAGAAAGCCTGTGTGCAGCAACGAAGACCCAGCACAGCCATAATTTAAATAAATAAATACATCTTAAAAAATTTTCAAGTATAAATTCAGTGCTAGGATAAGAAACTGGCTACTTCCAAAAAGCTTTTGAAGCAATGAGTGCTGACTACATAGAATGTCAGTAGCAGATATTGACACCTATAGACTTTACAGTTTTACTAAGTTTGCCTGTGCAAATAAGTAAGCTATCCTTTTTTCTTTAAGTCAGAGCCTTGTAACTTGTATGTAAGAAAGAGCTACAGGTGTTCGGTGATACTGATCCCGTCAGCCCTTAGGGCTGCAGGTCTACATCTCTTGTACAGACCACAACGTGCCATCCAATGATCATGGGCACCTGTAAATGAGTGTAAAAAAGGAGCTGGACGCACTGGCTTGGATTACTTTTAAGTAAATGGTTAATTTTAAAATGTAAGCATGGGTGCCTTTAAACCTTATGATATTAATTATATTATTCACATATCCAAGGAGATAAAACTCTAAAATTAACTCTTGATTATAATTCAACACCCAAAGACAAGGCCAAATGATGAGTGCTACTAACCTAATTTCTCCTCCTTTCCAAATAGCACTGAATGTGCTAAAATATTTGAAATAGATTTACCAAAGATACACTATACTGGGTAATAAGCTTCGGCATCTAAATTTTGTTTGCATTCAATATTAGCGTTATGATCGCTAACACACACATGTGGACAAAAGTAACACAGAACATACCTGTGGGGCATAGCCAGGAGGCACGTAGATCGGAGGCACAGAGCCATTTGGGGACATCATTGGAACCTGAGCAGGACCTGCACAAATCACAGAAGTCACATGTTAATCCTGGGTTACTTAACGAGCAAAAATTGAAAACAATTTGAATTGAATTTTGAATGCTTCATTTTAAACTAAACCCTTAAACTAACAGTGTATAACTATGAAAAGAAATTCAGATGATTCACCTGCTAAAAAATAGAAGTGTTTATCCTGTAAAGGGCACTGACTGCTCTTTACCTACAGTGGTGTTTTTCAAACCTGCCTGGTGATGGTAACAGTCACCTGGGGGGATTTTTAAAGCACACAGGGACTTCTCTGGCAGTCCAGTGGTTAGGACTCTGCACTTCCACTGCAGGGGCAGCGAGTCCAACCCCTGGTCAGGGAGCTAGAGATTCCTGTTTAGTACGCTTACAGTAAATGGGGGTCTTGAATCAGTGTGCTTACAAACATCCCAGGTAATTCCTGTGCAAATTTTGCAAATTAAGAAACACTGACCCAGTGGAAAATCAAACCAAACTTTGCATATAAAATCAATGAAAAATACAAAAGGCAAAATTTGAAAAAAAAAAAACAATAGAAAAAAATCAAGAAAAAGTCAAGAGGAAGAAGCAGTAAGAGGAAGAATAGTTAGAAATTTGGAACTTGTTTTCTTAGGGCTAAAAATCTCTTTTAACCCTATAGTGCGTAAGTCATGCCTTTGGGGGCTTGAGAACAGTTAGAAAAATGGAATACACAAGTATTTACCCAAAGAAAACTTTTTTGTTCCTTACACTGAAAAGTCCTTTAAAAAAAAAGAAAATTCAGCTGTCTTATTCTACATTTTCTTTCATTTTTATAGTGATATCCTTCCCCAACCAACAACTTTTCAAAAAGTTGTTTCATATCTAAGGATATATCTCTACTATGTATTTAGCAAACACTAAAATATTATGTATTTTTTGGCAACTGATGTAACGAGCTTTAAGAAATATGCTCTGATGCTTCTAAGGACAAGTAAGGCCTTCTTTATTTTTATATCCTTGGAAAACAAAAACAACAAAATTTTTCTACATCTAAGTCAATGTCACCTATAAATTTACTAGACAATCCTTGTGAAGCGCTTTACAGCTCTAGGCAAGGGAGGCTTCATCCAAAACTCACCTTTCAACTTCTACATGCTGGACTCAAACATGACAGCAGTCTTAAAGTTATGCTGGTTTATTCTGTTAGCTAATTTATAGAAAACTATAGCAAGCTAACTTTCTGAATCCTGAGATCTGGCTTAGAGATTATTCACAGTGTGTGAAATTTAGCTGAGAACCAGAAAGAGAATTCATTGAAAACTGTTACCTGTAATCTTAATAAAGGAAATTACTTTGTTGAGTTTCTACTGTATGTGCCAGAGACTGGTTCCTTGCATATGTGGTCAAGTTTAATCCCTATTTCAAGTTATCAGAACAAATTTTTGGTTTTTAGCCATCAAGTGAAAAATAAGTTATTACCAATTACATTTAATCTTATAAAACTACATAACTGCTTTGGGTTGCTCTTCTTTCACTAAAGATATGAATATATAAATACTAAGTAGTTGCAATTCAAACCAAACATACTTTGAAAGCTGCGAAGTGTTTATAATTTAGTAGTACAAAATTCTACTTTATTCTTTAATTATATCTAAGTGTGATTACTGAAGAGAGCACAAAACAAACCTAATCTCAAACCAGCAGTAAACCCATAACTAGCTGCAGTCCAGGAATAATGATTAACTCATATCCCTATGAAGTAATCCTTTCACTTTAGCAAGTGAATTTTCTTACCCTGAGGAAAAATGGTACAAGGTTAGATTTTTTTCTTTAAAAAAACAAACAAACAAACAAAAAGTTCATGTATAGCATTATTTAATATCTAAAATACTGGTGTGAAGTAACATATTTACAGTACCATTTCTGTTGCTATTCCTGTCTATAGTAGCAAAACTCCAAAACCTTGCATAACTTGATGATGCAGAAGTTCCATCACCTCCTTAGTTCCACCAATATTTTTTAATTTAGGAGGTATGAAAAGATTAACTGCAAACTCTTGATTAACGGCAGTGAGGGAGCTCCAGTCCCAGTGAAGAAGCTAAGTCTGTTACAGACTGTACCATTAAACACACATCTGGCAGGAGAGTAGCTGTATCTGAACCACTGTAGATCCACCAAGTAACTCCTTAATAATATATACGATTTTAGCAAAATCTACCACAAATCATATACCTATTGATTTTTAAGGGCATATTTCCTTAGAGTAAACAACTCTATTTACCAATTGCCTTAAGAAATTTGAGAAGCCTCCATTCCTTAAAAATTGCCATCAAGGATTTAGTAAAGACGGTATTTCATCTAGTAAAATGTCAACTCTTTAAATTTTTTCCTTAATAGTAGACATTAGCAGACATTTGATTTAAAAAAACAAAACAAAAGATCTGCCTGGGTTCAAATTCTTAACATGCAACGGGCTGCTGACGTGCCACACATTCTCTTTACTAGCAAGCTTTCACAATGGCTTCCAAATAATCTGATGCCAATTTGCAGATTTTAGTTGTAAAAAGAAAATCCTAGTAAAGGCTCTGGAAAGGAATATTCTGTGGAATGTAAAATCAACCCAACTCTAAACAGAGTTAATCTTTTTTATAACTACACGGCCACAATGTAAAATTTTTACAGCGACAGATCTGGCATCTATTGAAAAAACATACGGCATGACTTTAGAGTAATACAATACTTGCTACGTTTTAAAATAAAAGCAGAATGTTCAAAACCAGTAAAGCTTACCACTCATTTTGTTTTTACAGTAGCAGCAGAGAACAAGAAAATCCAACAAGGAAACAGCGTAGTACACGTTAACAGCTTTAATTGGAGAACCGCGGTTGCTGCTTTTTTTTTTTTTTTTGCAAAGCTACGAGGAAAAGATCCTTTGACCGAGTCACATGATGCCGACCACGTGACCTGCAGTGACCCGCGGAAAGGGAAGGGGAAAAAAAAAAAAAAAAGCAAGCGTTCCTGCTGGCAGTGTTTGGCATACAGTAAATGATTAAAAGATTTCTACTGATTCTGCCCTGGATTTGAAAATTTTCAGACTCCTTTATGAACCAACTCAAAAGCGCATCAAGACATTCACGGAAAAATAGAACCTGATGTAAAATAACTCCCTTTGTTCTCATCTTCCTCCGGTAACCGACAGGCCTGTGTGCTAAGTCGCTTCAGCCGCGTCCGACTCTGCGACCCTTGTGGACTGCAGCCTGTTCTGCTCCTCCGTCCACGGGATTCTCCAGGCAGGAAGACTGGAGTGGGTTGCCACATCCTTCTCCAGGGGATCCTCCCAACCCAGGGATCGAACTAGCGGCTCATCAGCCTACTGCATTGGCAGATGGGTTCTTTACCATTAGAGCCACCTGGAAAGCCCTACATACTAAGTCCAATTTTATTACCCCAGCTGGATGCTTTTCATTTATAAGTTTTAGGATACATGTAACACTAATTTAGAAGATTCACTCCGAAATGTCCTTGTGTAACCTGATGCACTCTCCATACTCAACCCTTAAAATTCCTTTGTGTATTGTGGGCAACCCTTAAGGAGAGCCCACAGTACACAGAAGAATTATCTACAGAATACAGGCTTGATCAACTTGTTCTTTAAACATGGGATTTCTATTTCAGACTAGCATTTAACATCTCAAGTTAATAAATGCTCTTTTTTTTTTTATTACTGGTTTTACTTTCTTTTCTTCTGATTTTTTCTTGTTGTTTCTGAAGGTTTAACCTGGACACTAATACAGATACTTGGTAGATGGCATTCTCACTCATGCTCATGAAATCTGAAAAGACAGGTCATGATTGGGGCTTGAAGTACTTTACTCAAGCATGTATAGAGACCAGAAAGAAGACTAAATGTTCAGTTATAAGAGAAGGGAGTAAGACTGTAAGAACTTTGGAGGGCTTTTCATTACTTTATGGTGCTGTGTAGTTACGGAAATTTATTTATAGCTAATACAAATATACAGGTAATGATAATGACTGTGATTTGTAATAAATTGAACAGTGGAAAGAAAGTGGATTTTGGTATCAAAGATGTAAGCTTTAACAACAGCATCAATATTTATTAGCAAGGCAATTTACTGCTCTTCTATGAGACTCAGTTTCTTTCTATAAAATGGTTAAAACAATCAACTTCATGGCATTGTTGTGAGAATCAAACTAGATAAATTTAAAGTACCAAGTACACTGGCTGGCACCACTCAATAAATGATAGTTATTATTATAAGAATGGCCACTATGGGGCTTCCCAGGTGGCTCAGTGATAAAGAATCTGCCTGCCAATGCAGGAGACAAATGAGACATGGGTTCAAGCCCTGGGTCAGGAAGACACCCTGGAGTAGGAAATGGCAACCTGCTCCAGTATTCTTTTGCCTGGAAAATTCCATGGACAGAGGAGCCTGGTGGGCTACAGTCCACGGGGTCGCAGTCAGACATGACTGAACACACACACACACACACACACACACACGTTTGAGAAAGTAATAATGGACAGGGTACTATTCAATGTATTACATGTGTTAACTCAATCCTCACAATAACTGAAAAAGGCATCACTTATAGGTAAGGGAATTGAAGCAGAATGCAATTAAGTAACTTGCCAAGAGCACACAATGAGGCAAAGCCAGGATTATTTTAACAATAAGGCAATATTTTAAACATATATAAACCATCTTCAAAGACTCAGTCTTCCAAAAAGCTGGAAAAGAACTGGTAAGGGATAACCTGGAGGTTTCAATAAATACATGCCAGACCTTTCAGAGGAGATAAGACATCGATGTATCATTCTCACTAGTGGGGAAGGATAATTGTTACCTTCTAAGTCCCACTAAAAGGCAAAGCTGCCCTGAAGAGCATAGCTTAATACCTTAAAGTCTCCTGGTCTCAACAGAATCTTCTCATAAATGTTGGATTCAGGCTCCCAGTAAATCCAATCATGCCTATGGTCTTTAGCCCCTAAACAAAAAGCAAGTCCCGGCAGC